CAATGCTGTAAGCTATTGTAGCCCGATGTATGTAATTTATGTAACAATATGCAAAATTCAGATTTTTTTCATATATTTGTATATAACTTGCAATAAATCTATTTTTGTCTCCTTTACAATGTCCATTTTACATCACTCACAACAATTTCTTACTCTTCCTCTGCGTACTTACCAAAACATGAAACGACCAACGAAAACGTAATATGCCCGACAGGAAACGACCTCAAACTATTTTCCGATGAATTCTAAAATCTGGCGCAAACACGAGCTCAGGCAGAATTCATTCGTGCACGATAGCTTCCGTGTGCAGGTAATAATGTAAGATTTTGGTCATTCGTGGCGAAAAGTTGAAAATCAAATGTGTTGGATAATTTTTTACAAGAATGAAAAATGCTTGTGTGTGCGCTTAACTAAAACTTCTGGGGTTCAAGACTGCGGTCGTTAGACCCTACTGTGAAGTGGCTATACTGAAAATAAATACTATTTAAAAAAACGAAACGAAAATTGGGTTTAATTTAATTATACTGACTGATGTGTCCCATGATTTTTGAAATTTTGACCAAAACCCTCTACACGTTTAAATTGTTAAAGCGGTTTGAGTCATGGATTGTCTTGAGTTTATGAAAACCTGGCAAGTTGTTATTTGTAAAATATAATTTCACTGGAAGGAATTTTCAGTCCGCAAAGCAAGTCCTTCACTAGAATATTCTTGGAGGGAAGTGTTTTTATTATACGCCCACATGAAATGGGGATGAACACTATTTAAAATCAAAAAGATAAAATGAATGATTGCCCTTGTTCTTGAAAATGTGTTCAATTTGTAGCACGTAAACACTCTAGAAGGCACAATTCTTGGTGGATTTTGACGAAACTTTGTGTGAGTGTATGTAATAACCTAAAGATGAACCCTAACGAAAATCAGAAAAATCGAAAAATATAATTGCCCCTCTGCTTAAAAACGCGTTCAAGTTTTAGCCTGCAAACACTCTAAAAGGCCCAATTCTTGACAGATTTTGGTGAAACTTGGTGTGAGTGTTTGTAATCACACGCAAGCTATCTTTACAAATGTAAAATCACCGAATCTATATTTATCTATCTATATAGACCCAAAGACATTGTAAAGCTATATAGTTGTTTATCTAATTTTATTTTGAATATTTGAAAAATGAGAGAAAATTCAATCTGAGCTCAATGTAGACAGAGAGTAGTTTTATTTTTCATAATTTTGTTTACAGCCAGGTTAGTTGCGAGTCCCTTTGAGTGTTAAGTCGCACCCTAACATAACGTTCTTCTGTTTTAGAGGTAAATTCAGTATTGAACACATTACAACATTGCTTCCAAATAAATAAAAAGGAAACATTCCTCTCTTGTTGTAAGTAACCTTTTTTGCAGCATTGGAAGTCATATAAGTCTCAGAAGGCCTTTCCATTGATAATAATGACAACAAAGATACGTACTACTAAGCAGAAGACTGAAGTTTTTAATCTCTGCCAAAGCACTAGTGGTGTAACCTATTTTCGTGGATATAACATAAGGATTCAACACCGTCAATTTCGTCAAAGTTAAAAAAACGAATTTTTTTTTATGTCTTAGATGTTTCCTCAGATATTCTATAAAATAATTAAAATTGGTTTATTTCGATTTTCTTTATGAATCCTTCACTTTGACCCATATTTCATGAGCAACCAACTCGGCAATGACAGCAGAATGCGTCACTTATGTGCGAGTACAATGTTTGATCTATAAATAAAACACTATAAAAAAACACGTTGTATGGATACCGGGTGGTATAATTAACTTCTCTTAGTATTTATCTTTAATATCAATTCATTATAACTAGTGACAATTCCTTCAAAGAACCACGATTTTAAAAAAAAAATTGTGACTGACAAAATAAGATACGTAGCGTGATTTATTGCTAAAAGACAGTGAAATAACATTAGAATACGGTCCACTTTGTGTTCCGTAGAAATTTTCTGCTAACACGGAATCTGCTAGTTGATCACGTGACTTCATTCGTTGGACTACATTCTAGCAGACGACACTTGGAATTCCGATTACCGCTTGGGATTATAAGGAAATTGGACCGATAAAAAATGGTGACGTTTGGTAATAACTGAAATCCGCCATTTTGTATTTGTCTAGTATACATTAATACATTTTACCTTGCTTGAAACTACTGGATTCATTCTACTAACTGATATTGTAGAGAAAACCCATGTTTATCAAAACAAACTAATGCAGAGGTCGCGCAAGGTCGCTCATGTAAATTAGTAAATCCTTTCCGGAAATCCACGAATAATAGGTTTCCATGAAATTAGGTTACTTGACTGTATAATTAACTTCTCTTAGTATTTGTCTAAGTATACATTAATACATTTTACCTTGCTTGAAACTACTGGATTCATTCTACTGATATTGTAGAGAAAACCCATGTTTATCAAAACAAACTAATGCGGAGGTCGCGCAAGGTCGCTCATGTAAATTATTAATCCTTCCGGAAATCCACGAATAATAGGTTTCCATGAAATTAGGTTACTTGACTGTATAATTAACTTCTCTTAGTATTTATCTTTAATATCAATTCATTTTAAGTGACAATTCCTTCAAAGAACCACGATTTAAAAAAAAAAAAAATAGTGACTGACAAAATAAGATACGTAGCGTGATTTATTGCTAAAAGTCATTGAAACTACATAAGAATATGGCCCACTTTGTGTTCCATAGAAATTTTCCGCTGACACGGAATCCATGCTGAATTCATTCTACTAGCTGATATTGTACAGAAAACCCATGTTTATCAAAACAAGCAAATGCGGAGGTCACGTGAGGTCGCACATGTAAATTATTAATCATTTCTGGAAATCCACGAAAATTAGGTTACCACGAAATTAGGTTACTTGACTGTACTGTCTACTCTGACTACATTGCGCTTTGCTTTGAATTGAATTTTGTCTCTCTTTTCATAAAGATTCAAAATAAAATTTTCAATTGTATACCATTTGTATTTTTATTAGAATGTCTTTGGGTTCATGGAAATATAAGGTTCAGAATTTTTTACTTTTTGAAAATTCATGTGAAAATGAACTACTTTTAGGACCAAAAATTCCCCTCCCTGTAAAATCATTTTTATACGCCCACACATAAGATGGGCGTATATTGTAATCGCCCTGTTGTTCCGTCCATCCGTCCGTTCACATTTGGATCATGCTCACTCTACAGGCTACAATTCTTTACAGATTCTTTTGATTTTGATTTTGTTTGTCAATGTCATTATGAAGATTATCCCTGTTGATTTTCGTGATGATCGGATAATTTTTCACCGAAATATCGTGTCTGACTTGACGTTTCACTCTATTAGCTATATTGTGCAACTGGTGCTCACTCTTCAGGCTACAATTCTTAACAGATTCTTTTCATTTTGATTTTGTTTGTCAATATCATTATGAAGATGATCCCTATCGATTTCTTGACGATCGGATAATTTTTCACTGAAATATCGTGTCTGTCTTGACGTTTCCGCAGTAAATCCACGGGCGACAATTCTTTACAGGTTCTTTTGATAATCTGATCTTGTTGAAACTTGGTATGCATGTATGTATTGATGAGATCTCGGTCAAGTTCGAACTTAGTAATAATCAGATGAACGGTTGCACAGTTATTGCCCTTGTCTTAGTAAAAACACGCTAAATTTGGCTTGTATGCACGATAAAGGCTGCAATTTTTATCTGATCTTGTTGAAACTTGGTATGCATGTATATATTGATGAGATCTCGGTCCAGTTCGAAATCGGTAGTAATCAGGCGAATGGTTTCTGAGCTATTGCCCTTGACTTAGTAAAAACACATCAAATTTGCCTTGTGGACACGATAGAGGCTACAGTTTTTATCCGATCTTCATGAAACTAGGTATGCATATATATGTTGATGAGATCTCAGTTGAGTTCTTAATTGGTAACAATTGAATGAAGGGTTTCGAAGTTATTTCCCTTGACTTAGTAAAAACTTGTCAAATTCAGCCTGCAGGCGCGATAGAGACAACAGTTTTTATCCAATCTTGATGAAACTAGATGCATGTATAAATTAATGAGATTTCGGTCAAGTTAGAAATTGGTTAAAAAATTGGATGAACCATTTCAGAGTTATTGCCCTTATGTGTACAGAGATGAAACATTGTTCATGTTTGAATTTGATGATAATTTTATGAACTGTTTCAGGTTTTTGTCTTGATTTTAAGATTATTTGAAAATTCATTATTAAACCAGTAAATATTTTGTTAACATTTCTGACAGCTGACAGTAGTGGGCGTATGTTACCTTGCCTGGCAAGCTATCTTGAAAATTTTGATTGTTTTGAAAAAACTTGACTGTACAGGGACAGAACTACATTTAGGCATATTTTGACGAGAAAAAAGAAAAATTGTTTAAAAAATAGAAATATCAATATGATATCTGCTAAATGTGAGCTTATAGTTTTTGGTAAGGGTGGTTACTGTTTGAACTCATAGCAATGAAAGACTTCAAAGACAAAAGGAATTTTGCCTCTGAGTGTGTATACCTATATTTTCAATTTTACTTTTCACTCAATGAAATTTTTGGGACTGTAAATAGAGCAAAAAGTTATTTATATAAAATCAATGAATGGGAACAGCATCCCTCTAGGACAGAAATGTGTGTTAGATTAGAAACTAAAGGTACCATTACCTAAAGCATTTGAAACTTTTTATATAATTGTAAAAACAAAAAAAAATGTTATGTTACCTTTTTTTGGACATGTTTCTGCAATCATATGATCAGAATAAATTTTTTCACCAAATACCTCAACCAGGGCTCCAAGAAACTCGGCAATAAAAGTTTAATGTTTGAATCAGTTGACAATTATATTTTGGTCTATCTCTTTCAGATTTGGAGATTACAATCAACCAAAATGGTTTTAAACTGCAGCTTTAAAAAACATTGGTGTTGATGTTTCTATTTGTTACTTTTATCATATTGGTTCAAAATGAATTTTTCTCTCACATACATATTAGTTGCTGTAGTCATAGCTTATATAGCACATTCTTCTTGGGTGTTATATCAATTATTTAATCCTAAACCCTGTACAAAACAGCCATGTTTGAAGGCTTATATTTCTCGAAAGCCGAAATTGGAGGTAAAGTTATATTGTGTTATTTCATCTGTAAATAGCTTGCATGTTTACATATTAAACAATGGCTTTTGTTATTAGAAAAAAACAAAAAAAACATCAAATTTCACAGAATAAATCAACAAAGAAAAACTTGATTTTGACAGGCTGAATTTATTTTACAATACAAGTTGATTTTATTTAGATGCATATTTATACATCCACTAAGAAGACACAGATATCAGAAAAAGATCTCTCTCTTGTTTGGAAGAATTCAAATTTTGATCTTCATAATACAGAAGCAAGGTAATAATTTTAATCCTATGATTATTTTAATTTTGTTGTTGACATGTTTGAGTGTACCTTAAATTTCTTGGATTGAATACCATGAGACTATTATGTTTGTGTTTATTTTTTACTTCAAATGAGTCTGATATTGCCTTCATTTTGTTTCAATTTCTAGGGAATTTAATGTTTCAATACCATGGAAAACAAGAAAAAATGGTACCTTATTTGCTCATGTGTTTGTTCTTCCAAAGAAATCTGATCCATTCGTTAGCGAATTGGTTTCTCATAGTTATACATCATTAACTACCTATGCAATACCAAAAGCCCTAGCCATAAATCTATTAGGGAACTCTGGAAGAAATGTAAGTTGACATCTATGTTATAGTACAGATAATTAAAATATTTTGATACATACAAATCTAAACGCTTTGAGTACGCTACTTGCATTTAGTGCAGCTTGGGGCCACTTCTGTTTGAAGCTTTTTGTAGCTTTTTGTTTGTTACATAACTTTTATTAAATAGTGGAAATCTTTCATTCCTATTGATGTCCTAGCTATTATTTTCTTTATGTAAAATGAAAGTACAAGTCAACCACCTCTAGGTTATTATTTATTGCATAAATGAATCAAGAGGATAATGATTATATTTAAGTTTTGATGTATTTGGGATATAACTTTATTGAATAACACAAATACATTAATTTAAAAAAAACTTGACATTAATGTTAATATTATAAGAATTAATTTATTTTTCTACAAATGTAAAAGCTTAAAAATGATGTGATAAGGATATGTACCTTAGTTGATAATGCTGTTTTATCATATTGCAGAAAAGTGGGTATATTGGTCCAAATAAACCTGTCACACATTGGAGACAAAAATTAACTATAAGTGTTATGGAAGATGATATAGCTTTTGATAGAATGGGTATACCAGCTGAAGTATTTAGATATATGAAGTATGTAATCATGATATCTCTTACATTTTAAAAGCAATTATAATTGTACCAAATCTTTCTACGATTTTTTTTTTAGCCCACATGAAATAAGGGTCCTATATATGGCGTCAAACATATCTGTATGTTGGTCCGTCAATCTGTCCACGATTGCTCGTAATCACAATCCTTGACAGATTTTGACGAAACTCGGAGTGAATGTTTTTCACCCAGGGATAATTCCTATTTAAAAATGAAAAATATTAAGTATGAGTTATTGCCCTTGTTCTTGAAAATGCGTTCAACTTGTAGCATGTAAAAATTCTTAACAGATTTGACGAAATTGATAGGTGTTTTTGTTATCACCCAAGGATGAACTTTATTGAAAGTCAGAAGAATCATAAAATATTTGATATGAATTATTGCCCATGTTCTTGAAAACGTTTTCAATTTTTAACTCGTAAACACAAAAAGGCACGATTCTTGCCTGATTTTGATAAAACTTGGTTATATTATTCAGTATCGCCCCAAAAAGTTCGAAAGAAGTGAATGACTGATGATTGTTACTGTACTGCTAAATATTTTTATTCAAAGTCAAAGCTACAATTGGGTGTATATTACCTTGCTTGGCAAGCTTTCTTTATCAAACCTTGTACATGACATCAAGAAAGTAGAGATTTAGTAAAAAATTTTAATTGAAATCATTTTAAATAAGATAATATAGGTTTATGCTATTTTGATATTCATATTAGTAGATACATTAAAAATAGCAAACTAACTGTCACACCTGGTAAACCTGCCATACTGGTGACATCTGCTACATCTACTGTAGTGGAACTATTCTAAATGAATATGAACATATTTTGTGATTGATAAAATTTGTGATTTAAAGCTAATAAATGAAAGATTGATGTTTAATAAAATATTTTTTAGAATGATGTTAAGCTGTGTGGTCGTTCTGAAAGGCATGAGGAATTTGATTGTAGCATCAGTTTGATTGTCTGATCTACTGATATAACTAATCATCAATAACATCATTATGATCATTATGCTGATGATGTATTTGACCCCCCCATGTCTTGACATTGTAATCACATGTTATATGTAGCCAGGGGCAGGGTTGCTGCTATTGAAATTGTTGAATCAAATTTATGACAATTTCAAAATAATTAACAGTTTAAAAACAGTTGAAATTTCACATGTGGAAGTGCCGTGCCATAGACCGAAATCCCCAATGAATCTTGCACCTTCCAATACCCCAGACATTAAAAAATACAATTGTATTGTTTTGGTGCCTTCTTACACATATCTTGGGGAGAAACCATATAAAAAAATTATTTTGACCTTTTATATATGCCCACATGAAATGGGGGGCGTAAAGCTATATATTGCCATCACCAATGTTTGTCCTTCTGTCAACAATTGCTCGTAAACACTCTACAAGGCACAATTCTTGACTGATTTTGAGGAAACTTGGTATGGTTGTTAATATTGACCCATGGATGAATCCTATTGAAAATCAGAAAAATTGAGTTATTGCCCTTGTTCTTGAAACACTCGTAAACACTCCAGAAGATTTTGAGGAAAATTGGTGTTTGTAATCACCAAAGGATAAACCTTATTGAAAATCAGAAAAATGATTAGAATGAGTTCTTGAAAATGCATTCAATATTTAGCACGTAAACTTGGTGTTTGTAATCACCAAAGGATGAACCCTATCGAAAATCAGAAAATCGCAAAACGTTTAGTATGAGTTAGTTTTAGCCTGTAAACATTCTAGAAGGCCCAATTCTTGACAGATTTGATGATATTTGGTAACATTATTCAGCATCAGCCTCAAAAAGTTCGAAAGAAGTGTACGTCTGAAGGTTGAATATTTCACACTGGTTACTGCATTGCCGAATATTTTTCATTTAATATCAAAGCTGCCAGTGGGCGTATATTACCTTGCCTGGCAAGCTATCTTTTAGAAAAGAAGAGGTTAATAAAGGATATAATGCTTCTCTTGTATCCCCACTGATTTCAGCAAATTTATATGTGAACTTCAAATGAACCTCTTAAATTAATGATTTCCTTATAGAATAAGTCGTACAGGGGAATATTTACCAGTATTATATATTGATGAATTAGCTTTTAGAACTAAAGATTTGTTGGTAAGTATACATTATTTACTATTATTCTTAAAAATGTACAAGATTATTTTTATTTTTAAAATGAGGTATCTATGCAAATGTAGATTGTCACAATTCATTTAACTCAAGGAATGTCTTAGTAATCAATTCTCATTTAATGCTACTAAAAAGGAACACCTATTTCACGGTTTCTAGTAGTCAAGAGTAGTTTTGGTATATCTTTTGACATACCATAGCATACAAGATTAGTGATTATGGTTATACAAACTGTTAAATACACATATTCTCAGTTTTGAATTAACAATCCCAATTGTTTTAATTGCAGGAAGTCAACAATAGTCATACTTTACCATTAACTGTTACCTATACACCTATATCAGTCGGAAAACTAAGAATGTGGCACAATGTTCAAGAATCATTTAAAATGTTAAAAGGGTTAGGTGAGGAAAGTCTAGATCAATTTGGAACATTATTTTTATACCCCCCACATGAAATGGGGTAATAAATAATAAAACTTGACATCAAGTACCATCCTTTAATACCAAACGCTAGTGGAATTGGTGATTCCATCAAAAAGTCTTCTGTGATTGGTTATTGCTGTCTGCTTTTTATACGCCCACATGAAATGGGGGATTCATATTGTTGTCATGTCCATCAGTCCATCCATCCACAATTGCTTGTAAATACTCTAGAAGGTGCAATTCTTGAGTGATTTTCAGGAAAATATAAGTTATTGCCCTTGTTCTTGAAACGTTCATAAACACTCTAGAAGATTTTGAGGAAATTAGGTTTGAGTGTTTGTTATCACCCAAGGATGAACCCTATTGAAAATCAAAAAATCGAAAAAATATATAGTATGAGTTATTGCCCTTGTTCTTGAAAACGCCTTAAATTTTTAGCTCATAAACACCCTAGAAGGCATGATTCTTGACAGATTTTGACCAATCTTGCTGTGAGTGTTTGTAATCACTAAAGGATGAACCCTATCGAGAATCAGAAGAATTGAAAATATTCTGTATGATTAATTGTTCTCAATTTTAAAAAACGCATTCAATTTGGAGCTCGTAAACACTCTTAACAGATTATGACAAAATTTGGTGAAATTATTTATTGTCACCCATTGATGAATCCTTTTGAAAATCAAAAAATGTTTAATAGGAGTTATTGACCTCCTCTTGAAAAAGCTTCAATTTTTAGCTTGTAAACACTTAAAGGCACAATTCTTGCTGGATTTTATCAAAACTTGGTAATAATATTCAGTATTGCCCCAAAAAGTTAAAAAGAAGTGTATGACTGAAGATTGAATATTTCATACTGGTAATTGTTACTGTACTGCTGAATGTTTTTATTCAAAATCAAAGCTGCTAGTGGGTGTATATTCCATTATCTGGCAAGCTATCTTCATTTTGGGATCACCACTTGAAATGGGGTACAAATCTGATGAATATTCACAAAAAAAAACTATATGTCATGCTACAAATATCTTGACATTTTGGTATTTTTAATTTTTTTGTTGTTTCCAATTTAATAGTTTGCCTCACTGTAAGTGAGCTCTAACTTTTGTTCTGAATTTTGTATTATTTCAGGTTTTACAGAGAAGGATACTGATGAAATAAAAGGCATATTTTCAGACACTAATTTTTATTTTTTATTGTTAACTTTTTCTGTAGCAGCATTTCATGTAAGTAGTGTAGATTACCAAATTGATTATTATTGGTAAAGATATTTGATTACAAATAATTATTGAAAGAAAGAATTGACATATTTTTTTATGAAAAACGTATAAAAATGAAAACTGATCATGGTATAATGATCGAATGTGTTTCCCCTTTTGTTCAATCTGCTGCCCCTAAACAGTTGATTTTGTCTTTCAAAGTTTAATGTGCACTTTTAAATGTCTATTAATTCAGATTTATGGAATCTTACTGTATTTAATTTCTTTATTTTAGTATTGAATGATATTTTTTCCAGTTGCTATTCGATTTTCTGGCTTTTAAGAATGAAATTCATTATTGGAAAGATAGAAAAGATATGGTTGGATTGTCATCAAGAGCTGTTATATGGCGTTGTGTATCTACTATTATTATCTTCTTTTACTTGTTTGATGAAAATACCAGCTTACTGGTAGTTATTCCAGCTGGTATTGGTACTCTGATAGAGGTATTGTATATTTCTATTGGAACGATCAATGAAAACTTTGTTCACATTTTAGTTTTATACCAGTTTGTGCTCTTTTGTGATAAAGAAGATATTGTTTTTTTTTTTTCATCTCCAATAATGAGGTGTCATCCCAATTACTAAGATGTTTTTCTTTGTGGAAAACTGAACCCCCTTTCTCAAAATATGATTAAATCAAGATTCTGTTTACATGGTATCACGCAATGGTCACATGCATTCTGTATATATCTGTGTAAACAGAATGTAAATTTAAGCTCCACATTTAAAGGGCCACTACACAACTTCTATGTCGTCTGCTTCTACATCTTGAGTCCAATCCAATCCAAATTCCAACAATATTATGAATTCTGGACTTATTTCGAACTCATCTTTCATTAATTGCACTTTTAACATGGCTGCCCTGTCAACTTCCAGGCTGTAGACAGTAGACTATAAATGAGGTGACCTACTTATTTTTGATTGGCTGTTCTCTATTGTATCAGTTCATTAACTGATGAAAATGTTATGTAGTTATTCATCAATTTAGTGCCATAAATTTTTTTTACAATAAATAAATATTTAAACATGTATTCCAGTTTAATTATGCAGATTTATACAGTGCACACTGGTGTTTTCTGTTTATACATGGATAAACTGAAATATTCTCATGACATTCCTTCAGTAATGTACAAGCGTAAATGTTATAAATTTACGATTTGATAATGTCAAATACAAGATAATTTTATTAGTAGGTTTTTTTGAGAAACGCATCACATTCATTCATCACTACACTGGAATGTATATTTTGTCTTGTTACAGAATCAGGAAATTTCAATATATTTCATACTACAATCCTGTTTAGATTAAAAAGAGAGTTGGAGATGCTTGACCATGGCTGTTTCAGGTTTTGTGAAATATTTGTTCCTTGAAAATGCATTTGAGAAACAAAATGATCATAGAGCATTCTAGTTAATTTTATGTACTAATTGATATAATCATTACTGTTTCAGATATGGAAAGTTAAAAAAGCTTTCAAGATAACGATGCAGTGGACAGGAATGACACCAAGTTTTCAGGTGATTCTTTGTTCTGAAGTACATTGGACACTGTAATAGTTGTTGTCAATATTTATTGAGCTATTGAACCTTTTCAAACATATTATACAGTTGCTTGTATATCATAGAACTGCCATATACACTAATGACCAAACTTTATTAATACAATCTTCATTTCAATAAATATTTTAATGACATGTTAAATAACTATATATTATAGCTTGGTGATAAAGATGAAAGAGAAAAACAAACAGAAGAATTTGATTCTCAAGTTGGTTGAAATGATTTTCCACTTATATTCTATTATATTTTGTGTTTATACCTGATATATGTAATATTGGTTCGACAATCAATTGTCAATCAAAATACAGACTACTTTTTTCAAATCAACCACTTAAAGGGATAGATGCATCATTTTGGGGGTTGATTTTAGTGTTGAAAATATGTAAATAGTCTTCAGAAGTACTAGAAATGTTCGAAAATCTCATAATTCCTTCAATGATATTTCCAATTAGGAATTTTATTCATTATTTCTATATTTCTATATCCAATTGAATTATTGTACTGTATTTTCTCTTCGTTCATTAGGCAATGAAATACTTATCCTATATCCTGTATCCATTATGTATAATTGGTGCTGGTTATTCACTATTATATGTTCAACATAGAAGTTGGTACTCGTGGATATTAAAAAGTCTAGTCAACGGTAATATAGAAGAATTCTTTCATCTCTGCTAGTTCTACTTGTAAACTGATGAATTAAATGACATTAAAACCCCCTTTACTACTTCTATTGAAATTATCCTAAATCAGACATGGTTAATTGTTAAATTCTTACAGAAATTACCAATATGAAGCCGGATTTGTAGTTTTATGAAACAAAATCCATTTTTTTTTTTAGGAGTTTATGCCTTTGGGTTTTTATTTATGTTACCACAATTATTTGTCAACTATAAGGTAAGTTCTTCAATTACTAATCTCAATTACTTCTTCTTATACAATAATGAAATAACAGTGAGTTAAAATTGTACTATATTTTTGAAACATTAGGGCGTATAACCTTTAACTGTCATTTGCCATCCAATCAAATTTGTGCTATTGTCCAAAAAAACTTAATGAGATTTGAAATGTACTTTTTTGGAATTGTAGTAATGACTGTGATGGGTGCTCTATCCAGAACGGGCCTGCTTTCCATTCTTAAACACCTTTTTCCACCATGTGAATTTTGTTGGTCAACAGTCATTCCTTTCAGAGGGATTACATAACTACTATTGTTTGATATAGTTATTACCAATCTTGTGTACATGTATTGAGTACATTATTTTTATATTATTACTTTTTCAGTTAAAATCTGTTGCACATTTACCTTGGAGAGCTTTTATGTATAAGGTTCGTGTTTTAAACTTTTGTTTCCTTTATACTGCATCTTGCTTGAGAATTGACAACAGTCTTTTCTAAATTTTTGTATTGATGAAGAATAGATCAATATTAGCTTCCCATAATATTAAGTTTTTTTACAAGCAACAAAATCCAAAAGAAAAAAGTGTTCAAAACTTATGTTCTACATGGCGTAATATGTTCAAGAGAATATTTTTGTGTGTTCAGTGAAAATTTCTTGTACACACTATAGAAGGCGCAAATCTAAATTGATTTTGAAATTGGTGAAATTGTTGTGTAATCATTCAATACATCAATTCAAAGTTAAGCGATGTTACTGTGCTCTCTATTGTCGAAGTCATTAAAAGCGTAAGTGTTCATGTGATCGATTAATCGGTAGATATAACCAAATACAGTAGGCAGAAGAGAATGTCAGTCCTCATTGCATACAGTTGAGATATCTTAACATCCACGTGTATTTTACATACCTCTCCAACCTTTCTTATATTAATCTTTTTTCAGGCATTCAATACATTTATAGATGACGTATTTGCATTCATCATTACCATGCCAACAGCACATAGATTAGCTTGTTTTAGAGATGATTTAGTCTTTTTAATTTATTTATATCAAAGATGGTGAGTAATATTGTAATATCTTATCTACAGTATATTACTGCTGATAAGCAGAAATCTTGTATTATGTCCGATATAAAAGAATTACTGATTATTTTTTCACTCAGTGGCTAACATTTATTGATGCAGCTAAATTTGCCTAGTATTTGTTAATAGGTGAACACATTCGTACTATTTGCATCAATGTAGTTGAAATCAAATTACAATTAAGGGTTTTTACCTGATATTTTCTTAGATGGCAGTGTATCTAGAATAAATGAAAGCTTACAGGCAAAGACATAGACAATCAGTATGATTTTGAAAATATTTGGTAAAAATACTGAAAGTGAGCAGAAAATTGGAAACAATTGTTATTATGGTTTTATTTTTTAGGTTATATCCAGTAGATAAAACACGGGTAAATGAATATGGTATGTCTTATGAAAATGAACAAGATCAAAAGGAAACGAAAAAGTCAAAGTGAAAGGGATTATTTAGTTACGAATTTTTTGTTATAAATATCTGTTGATGTGTTTTTCCCATTTTATATGTATTGCATCAATTGGTCTTGCAAAATAGAATGAATGTTCTGATTTTATTGTTTTAGCAAATGTTGTTAAATGAATTCCAGTTATGTTTTTTTTTATTAATAGTTTGACTTCATAATCAAAGATTAAATACAATCTTTTTTTATACTTTCTGTGTGATTACAAATAGATCTACGACAACAGAAACATACAACCTTGGTATTATTTGTTTTGCCATCTTGCCAAAATGTAGGCCTATCCCTAGCATACATTATATTTTTACACCTATTGTCTAGTTATTGTACCATGGGTAGTACTATTTGAGAAATCCAAGGGGCAAAAAATGTTTTGTTCATGTGAGATAACCAAACCCTTGCTATCAAAATCGTGTTATAATAAGAGGTTTTTCATGTGATGCTTTGATCTTCCAACTTAAGACAACTGTATTTTACAAAGATAACTTCAGTTCATAGGATCCCTTCTACCAGATGGTCCTTGGCAAAACCTCTTTGCATTGATCTTTACCTGGTTATCCATACCCATTTACAGCTGGTTGGCTGAAATTATGAGTGAAAATGACTTTTTGAAAGTCATCGGACTTTCAGTCGCTGATCGAGATCAAAACTCACAGCCACATTTTTCTCAACGTAACTCAGCAAATGACACCATTTAAAGAACCAATGCTCAAACTGACTATACTATAAAACCTCACAAAAATTAGGTGACATAGAGAAATAAAACGAAAATTTATTATACAGGTAAAACATTTAATATAAGTTAATAACAACAATATATGTAACAGTATATATTAATAAATTAAAAATATAATGCTGTATTTGTATTAACAAATAACTTCTGATTGATAACCAGAAAGTTCTTGTCAGCAATAATTGTAGGATATCCTGGTAACAGCTCCATATTACATAATAAAATAAAATTAATATATAGTATAATATATGTATTATGTTTGATGGAATGATATATAAGAACACGTTTATGACAAGCTATAAATCAGATTATATTTATAATTTACTATTGATATTGCCTTTAAGCAAGCCAATCAACAGTTTCTGTAAAGCTGAATCTGTTGGGCTAGTTTCATGGTAGGCTGTTAGCAAGTAATCTTAGGCTGAATGTTTAATAGTGCTGGGTATCGTCAATCATGCCAAACCAGCTGACATCTGTCCAAATAGCTATTAGAGGCTGGAATAGAGACAGATGTTCCGGTCTATAAGACATAATAATATCCCTATACAATGCTTAAGATGAAATTTCAAAATCTTAAGCTATGGAACAATAAGCTTATCAATATGGAAACAATAAAAACATAAAAAATAAATACTGGACACAATATCAAACATCTTTCGAATAAAATATTTTGAGCAAGTAACAATAAGACATACAATAGAAATAACTATTTCTGACAGTTTGCCAACTTCCACTCCATGACTAGTCACTATAATGCTTAGAAATATTGGCATTACAAAGTTGGCAAACTGTCTAAATTGCCTTTACAAATTTAAAACTTGTTCTGCAAAATGAAACTGAGCATTTAATGGTATAAGTTGTAGACTACAAATTGAAAGGCTACTAAAATAAAATTCTTAAAAATATCTAAACAAATGGTTGTCTAGCAAGATATGCCCACTTACCTGATGAATTTTAGTATGTCAAGGATGCTTGTCAATATGTACAAAATCGTACTAAAAATCGAACATACTTACAAAATTTACACATGGCATACGTAAGCCACATTTAATAACATTTCAGTGTACCTAAGAATTGCAAATCATTTATCGAATCCTTTTTCAAGATCTTGTGGTTTTTCAGCTACACACAAAACATAAACTGCCACCTCTATAGCATTGTAATCAAATTTGAACTTGTCTTGAGAATATAAGCCAAATAACCAAATTTTATAAAAATCAGATGAAAACTATAGCCTCAATCGCTTTCACAAGTCACATTTAATATAATTTCAGTGTAACAAGGGTTGAAACTTTGTTGAATCGTAACTCAATTTGAACTTAATCCAAACAAATTTTTTTTTTTTATGTAAAATCTATGACTTGTATCTGGTCATAATGCTAATTGTGGACGGAAGGACAGAGATGATTGCTATATAAGCATATTAGAATGAGGGCATTTAAGAATTTAGTTTTCAAGGACTAATTCTTTGGTGGAGAGGTTTCAAATATATATATACTTCTCTTTAAGATCAGTAGGTGTTTGTGTGGTATAATTTTACCAACCTCTAAGGCATTATACTACAGCTATTATATTTCTTTAAACCAGCTTCCAGTAACACCAATTATAAGATAATCACATTATAGGTAACATTGGAGATCAATTCTTTTATGATATAATTGACACTTAGTAAACCTGAAGCTTAAAGTTCTAGGCTTTCAGGGTTTCAGATTCGAAAGGAGCTAGAAAGACCATCTGCCTTTCTTGTCATTTTTATGGATATTGGCATTACAATATATTTCACTGTCACTGATCTGAAATATTAGTGAAAAGTCTGGAAAACAACCATTTAAGTCCCCAAAGTTTTCACTTTTATTATACACATATTTTGATCATGTTTGTTCAAATATATTGTAATATAAAATGATGTTGATAAGCCAATTTAATTGCTTTTCAACATGTACCATAAGTTCCTTCATCTTCATCACAGGGTGCAACACGGGATCCAATACTTGATCTTAATCTTAAATTACTTAAACTAGATGTCCTTCGTGTCAACCACTGTTTCAAACTCTCTTCTTGTGGTCTTTGTTCCATAATCTGACTAATACATGCTCTCATGATAGCAGGCACCTCTTGAACCAAGGGTTTACGAATTAAAGCATCTCGGAATAGATTAATAACTTTTCCACATTCATGACAATGGACTTTACAGCACAGTTCTTCTAATTCCAACCTCTCTAACTGTGGAATCGAATAGCCTTTCTTATTACTAGTTACTAACCAACTATAATCAACTCCACGAGATTTACATTCTTCTTCATTCTCTTCTTCTCTATTCACATTATCTAACAACTTGATATGAAATTCTAATTCGGACATTAAAGTATCACTCACTACTATTTGAGAATCTTTTTCTGGTGGTTTACTGGATGGATCTGTTGTTGTTATATACCTTTTCCAGATTGCTTTTAGTGACATTGTAGGCTACTACTGCAAGAAGAAATAGCGATATGTGAAATATAAATTTTATTCAGTAAATCAATATGTGCATCAATAAACAATGTGATTCACAACTATGTACCCATTCAGGAATGCAGTTGGTACATCCACTAATATTTTTTATTCAAAGAGACTGAACATTTCCAAAGATTATTCATTTATATGACTATATTTCCAAGCTGATATTCCAATTCACATAAAATCTGTCAGAAAAAAATGGCTGCCAATCAAAGTATTTTAACTGAGGACTACTTAGTTGAGAATTATCAACACAAAACAATGGACTGCACTCTTCATTTTGAGATGCTTCTAATTGCAGCTTAATCATTCAACAATACTGAGTACTGGTATACTTACTTTATGTATTGCAAATGTCACTAAGCATTATTTAACAATGTCACAAAACATATAAACCTTTTGATATGACCAGTACCTGAATTTAACATAATAAGGAAACTATATATATATATATAAGCCTACCTGTACTTTTATACAGATCAATTTATCATATTATATAATATATTAATTATCACAAATTATTACATAATTTACACTCTTTAATGAATTCATTATCTAGATGACAACTGTCACCAAATTCCATGTATTCTATCCTCCTAGATGTTGCAATCTATACACAGATATTTTGTCTATTTCTAGTTAAGTAGGGGATTGTAAAAAGTTTTCTAAATTTTGTATGTGTATCAGGGACAATGATAGCACCAATTTTCAATAAGATGTCTGTGGTTCTATCAATTCTACTAAAAGTAAGTGTGACGTCACCCCGCAAAGGTCTTCTGTGAGACAACCAAATTTTGTGGGGGTGACATCATAAAAAACTTAGTTTTAGTGGACTTGCAGAAACCACAGATGTCTGATTGAAAATTGGAATGATTCAAATTGATGCTTTTTTTGTCCCTGATACACATACAAAATTTAGAACCCTTGAACTCAAAACATCACAGCAATATAACCACAATCTAAATTTACAACAAATTTCCTCCTATACTAGGTCTAGTTCTATTTGTGAATCATATGATAAATCTGGTCTGTAACCAAGAATCACCTCTACGTAACCTCCTGTGCAATGAGCGTGAGCTTAGCTGAGTTGAATAATTTCATTACTTTACAAATATTCAACAAGTTTCATTCAAAACAAAATTTACAATTGCATACTACTTGTCTAAGAATGTCTTCAGGCTCATTGAAATTCAGCAAGGCTTGATGATTTTACAAAAATAAACACACTTCACATAAAAATGATAAACCACATTCTGGACTGATTATTATATGGCCTTAGCTTAAAAATTATAGGCCTATCCTATTTAAATCGCTACTGCTGTAGGGCTACTAGGCCTAATTTGAAATCAATTTTCTTCAGACTATTAGGCTACAGCAGACTAGGCCCTAAACATAAATTTTGTTGTTTTTTTAACTGTAAAGAATTAAAAATTAAAAATAACCCTCACAAAGACCCTTAAAGAAGCTGCTCTCTATTTACAACAAAAAATTCTGAGACTAAACAAGTCATTAGGCTACCCTACGAAGTTCACGGCTGCCGACCACTGCCGTACTGTAACAATAGCCTAATAGTCAGTACTATAATTAAAATATTGAACGCACGTCTTTTGAACCGAAACATCTGTATCTATTCCAGCCTCAGATAACTTTTTGAACAGATGCCAGCTGGTGTCGAGACAGAAAAAATAGGCCATATTAAATGGAGGCATTCCGCATCTCCACAGGTGCAGTGGTTTTAAACCTATTTAGATAACGCAGATCTGCAAAATCGAGATATATTGGGAAAGATGAATATTTTTGTAGTTCTGTCATACCTCATTTTCTCCCTACAACATTAATGTCACCTGTCCGGTTCCATCAAAGTTATTTTTGACGAAACTGATCTAGCACCTACCCTGGCAATTAAAACTGAGTGCACAGCCAAAAGTTCAAAGGTCACAGAGGCCCAACACTTATTCACAATCATGTAAAGGTAATTTAATCTTATGTAAGAAAAAACACATATTTGGAGGTGTAGAATATCCCATTTAACTCTAGGCCTACTCCAGCTGTCAAAATATCCATCGTGCTGAAATAGAGGCAGATGTTTCGGACTACTGTCTTTAAATTAAGCTATTAGTCTTACGTGTCCTACTATCCAAAGATAAGTAGTTTGACAATAGCCAGCGTTATAGTTCTATAATCTATATTCGTGCTCCAGTATGTACCATTTATTGGTCATGGGATTTTTACGATTTACGCTGTCCGTCTCTAATCTCACGCCATTTTGTGTTTTATGTATTGAAGATTCGTCGTAAGGGGAGGTTAATAATAAATAACTGTGTTCTGGTCGATAATGATATTTTCGTCTGTCGAAATCTCTGGACTAACTCTGTAACTTCTTCAGATTGTAATGTGTCTGAATTGGATTTTTGTGTCAATTTTTTTCTAAAGCTGTCATTGACAAGGGTGGATCGGATATTGAAATAACAAATGTCTAGGTAGGGCCTATTATCTTGACCAGTGATCCATCCGTGGAGATATTTATAGGTTCCAGTGAGCAAACATATTTATATACCACACTGAGGTCCCTAATAGGACTCTAAAAAATTGGGCCTATACAAAACAAATGACCATACAGGCTATGAAATCAAAATAACATTTAGCGACGTATACACAATATGACATGTTATAGTAAAGTAAAAAAATTTCCCATTTTAATTCAAGGTAAATAACTACCGTATACTAGGCCTATGTATATTATTATATAGGCCTAGTTAGCCTATATATTACCTTCTTACTACACATTCCATGTCCAATCGTCTTTCTTTACATTTCACAAATTGTCCGCTCTACCACTCTTCTCCTAGAACACACCTGCTTCTTTCCTACCACGCGTACCAAGGGTGCCTCTAATAGACCTGGACCAAGCTTTCATCTTCATGACTTTACTGACCCATCGTGTGTTTGTTTGTATCGAGTTAACCCATATTTTCTGACATACCTTTCTAAACTTTTTTTAAAATGTGAACCGACTTTACAGAAACTCAAATTATATCTGTTAATTCTTACTTGTGGCGATATTGAACAAAATCAAGGACCCTAGGCTACATAGCTAACAAATCTATCTCTATAATTCACCAAAACGTACCCAGCTAGATAACTGATGAAAAAATCGACAAGATCGAGGCAGCCTTTCATGACATTCAGAGCACCGATCCAGAAGAAATTGCCTTAAAAAACTTCCATCTCCCTATATCCTGTGTAGCAGATCCAATAGCCTACTTTAGGTGGGGGCGTTGCAATCTACGTCAATAAACGTAATTTCTTTGAACATCGCCTTGAACTCCGATCAGCAAGTTTGGAAGCGGTATGGATTAAAATTAAGAATAAAAACCAAAACTTTCTTGTTGGTTCCTTTTATCGGACAACACACGTCCCATCTGAGTACTGGACTAAGACTGAAGACAGTGTTTCAAAATCCAAGGATTTAAACAAGCATATAATCATCCTCGGTGATTTTAATGTTAATTTCCTAACCACCCATAACAGTGGATTACACAACATCATAAGCCACTTTAACCTCACTCACAGTTCATTCTGCTACCTGTCTAGATCTTATCATTGGCAGTTGTCCCAACTTAATCCAATCTGTCGATGTAAATGACAATGGAATCAGTGATCATTCTTCAACTCGTGTCAATGTCCAATTCAAACTAACAACTGACAAATCCTACAAAAGGCATGTATGGAAACGTTTCAGAGCTAACAACTTTCTATCAAGATACAGACAGGAAATCTCCTTGCTAAGTTCACTTGTTAAAGTTTTTGAGAAATGCACGTTGAAGTACATTTATAACTTTCTGCTTGAAAATAACATCCTAACATCGTTCCAATCAGGTTTTAGACCCAATGACTACCATCTACCAATTGTTTGATATCAGTGATTATATTCTAAAAAATTTTGATGATGGCACTGAGGTCAAAGCAATATTCTGCGACATCAGCAAGGCCTTTGATCGCGTTTGGCACAAAGTCCTTCTATATAAAATGTACCAATTGGGTATAAGAAGCCAGTTTCATTCGATTCTAAGCAATTACCTCCACAACCGAAACCAAATTGTGGTTTCAAATGGTCAACACTCAAAAACACATTCAAAAAACGGGGTACCACACGGCTCAGTTCTCGGTCCCCTCCTGTTCCTCATCTACATCAATGATATTGTAAATAACATCAACGCTAATATTCGACTGTATGATGATGACACACATGACATTGCCAAGAAACACTAAATCATGATCTTCAAACTATATCAAAGTGGTCAGACGACTGGAAAGTAATTTTCAACCCAGCAAAAACGGTACCAACCAATTCAGCAGAAAAAGACCCATAAACCCAATCAAATTCAGAGATCAAACACTTAATGACACAAATCACCACAAACACATAGGTTTAATCTTCGACAGCTCGGGATCATGGACAAGATAATATTTCTCACGTAGTATCAAATGCAAGTAAAATGGTTGACTGCTATCATAGTCTTAAATGCCGTTTGTTCTGCCGATCTCTAAATACTATATACAAATTTTCATCTTGCCAACGTTTGATTATGCAGATGTCCTTTGGGATAACTGCTCCAAAACGGACATCGATAAACTGCAACTTGACGCCCTGTGGATCATCACCGGGCTTGTTCGGGGTACATCGCACGCTCTTCTCTACAATGAATCAGGATATATTCCTCTTACATAAAGACGCAGACGTCATAAAAAATACCGTTTAATAAAATGGCCCACAAACATGTTCCTCCTTATAAGTCTTCTTGTTCCACCAATAGTGTCCGATGTCAACCCATACCCCGTCCGCAATCAAGACGAATTAAAGATAATTCCATCAAAGT